TTGAATTTAACTGTTAATATTGACATCCTCAAAACAATACTAACTTCAATTCACCGGCATCTTTAAACCTTGAGAATTTAGTATGATGTTCGGGCAACTCTACTAATTCTTCGTTTCTTTAAAGAAGGGTTTTTGCAGAACCCATTAATTTCCATAAGTCAAAACCAATTTCATGACGAACGAAATTAATAATCGGTCACCTTTTGGCCTACCGAAGATCATGCTATCAGTTACTCGCGAAACAAGAATAAGTGGTTCACAACCCAGATGGACATGAACACCCCATCGTGAACGGTTGTAGTGGTTTATCTTTAATTTTTATTTGTTTTAAAAAAATATTAGCAATCCATTAGTGAGATCCACAATTTTTGTATCATTTTTTTTTTTAAAAAAAAAGAAATCGATTCACAAAGTTTATGAATGATGTAAAACAGACGTTAATTCGCGAGTTTAAATTGTCAATTATTTGGTGTTCTATACGAAAATCGGTTCACAAACTATGTGAATCCTTTGATTTTTATGTGGATCTTAAGCATTTTATTTTATTTATTTTTATTTTTTTTAAATCGATCTAGAAATTTTTTGTGTATCGGTAATATGATGTTCAATCTTTCATACAATATATATGTATTGATATAAAAGTATGAAAAAATAGGGGATCTTATATTATTAATTATGACATAGGGTTTTGTTTTGCGAAATGAAGTTTAAACCAGGTTTAAGCTTTTTTCAATCCATGCATGAGATAAGTAATTTGATTTGTCTATTATGTAAAATCTGAGCTTAATGATATAGTTCATGTTAGAACATAAATACGTTTCTACTTATACCTTCCCTTCAATGAAAAGTTGTGTGTTTAAATACTGATGGAGGATTCAAGAATATCCAACGACATGTATATAAAGATTATGCGCATATGGGAAAAAAAAAAAAAAAANTACTAATAGATGTTGTGTTGTATATTGCTTTTCAGTTAAACAATAAACTCACACAAAATGTTTGCTTTAAAGTCTATTTTTACTTTGAATGCTAACTTTCATCTATTGTTTGTTATTTATGCATGTATATTGTGAACGACTTTGGAGCGCAACAAATCAATGGTAATTACCTGGCAAAACAAAAAGAGGTAAAACCACAAAACTACATATACGAAATAGGAGATTCAAATAATAAGATAATAACCAGTTAGAGCACGTATATTTTTCGAAAACCCATTACAGTTCTGATAAGGAATCCTAACTTTGAAAAAATACTTTCACAGCAGAAAAAAAAAAAAAAAAGAAAAGTTGAATTAACAAATGAATTACCTTGAATTGTATCATCTCTTGTTATCCTCTGGTCGGCTTCTATCACTGGAATTGCTTGCTTTACTTTTGCACCATATGATTTATCCCTCAGTTGTACTTCTATCTCTTGAATTGCATGCTCTCCTTTTCCACCATAGGATATGTCCTTCCGTTGTAATTTTACTGGAATTGCTTGTTTTCCTTTTGCACCATAGTATTTATCCATTTCTTTGTGCAACTGTGATATCTAACTGTTGTTGAACAAAATAATTCACATAGATTAGAATTATAAGAATCGAGTAGCAGTTTAATGAGTATAAACAATTAGAGAGAAGAAAATGTACAGAGGTAACCTACAATCGAGTTGTAGTGAACCGAAATAAACCTACAGGAATCATATATAAAGTTCTATACCGTTTGAAATGTTCAGAGAAAAAAAGAATATTAGATTTCCACAAACATGTATTATATTGGCTGAATCCCAACAATATAGGGGAAGACTTCAAATTAGATAGGAATGTGACATTAGATAGGTTGGTTCTGCATTTTTAGATTGAATTTCCCGTTTTATTTATGTGCAATTGAGTTATGACCAATAAGAATAAACCGGATATGCATTAAAAAGTTGTTTAATATCGAATTAATTATTTTCCAATTAATTAATATCGAATAATTATTTTATGAATGTAAAGTACGTTTTAGTTGTTAATCGTATCGCACGAATTAAAATATATAAATCATTATTTACTTATGAAATCGAATAATAAATGAACCAAATTGAATCGAATAAATTCATATATATTAAATAAATATGTAAACTAATAACAATGTTGAACGACACGGAATAAAATAATGATTTTATTAACGACATGGAATAAAATTAAAAATTACATAATTATAAGAAAACTACGATAAAACTTATTATTGTGGATCTAATCTTCAATAATTAAAGACACTCATGGAAAACTTCTAATGTATTTCATCAGGCGTGTAATACTATTGAACACAATCTTCCAATCATGGGGAGTTGCCCTTTGCCGCCCATTTTTGGGTTTCAGTCCATAGTTGACGATACAATACACGTCGTCTTCTTTAAAGACATCTCACAATAAGCTCAAATGTTCGTAATGTATCAACCCACTTATTTGCGCACCCAACAATAAAATTTGGTACAAATTAAATTAATTAAATTACGTAAGAGTGTAATTTATACATAACAATTGAAAACATTACCTCTTGATCTTCAAATATGATAGCACAGAAATTCTATGTCTCCAATTCGTAATGGGTTTCAACAACTACAGTGCTTTAATTAAAAAAAGGCATATTCAACCTAGTAACCGCGATGAGTCTATCAAACACTGGCATCCTTTTTTTTTATTTTTTTAATCACGCGTGTCTCTATTTTTCAGGATGATTTCGGAAGAGAAGTGAAGAAGAAGTTGTAAAGCAATGATGGATTTATATAGGATTATAAAAATGTTGTTTTTATCACTTTTTGTTTTTTTTTTTTCAAATTTTTTGTATTATTTTATGTACCAACTCTCACCCCATCCAAAAAAAAAAGCAAGTGAAATAAAACGTTTGATGATAATAAAAATCGGATTTAAAAAAAAAAGGTAACAAATCTCATTCTAAAGAAAAGGTAACAAATTGGATTTCACATACCGAACAACCAAATCTCATCCTAAAATATATCAATCCGATTTTCAGAAATCCCATTCAAATTCAAATTATTTAGTTAGGCGGAATAAATGAAAAAATTTAAAAAAAAAAGTTTCCATAAGAAGTAATTTTCGAAATAAATGGGTGGGAAAAAACTTACTAAAATTTTATTTTTTCTTCACGCTTTTATATAATAATAGATTATTATTAGACTTTAAATAAAATCCTTCGTGATCTTCCATATTTCCTCCACATCGACAATTTTTTTTTTTTTTT